CTGTCTCCCCTGGTCCTTCCCTTCACTAGACTAGCCAGGCCCAGTTCCTGCAACCGTTCATCGCATGTTTGAGCCTCCAGGCCCCTCATCGTCTTGGTTCCTCTTCTCTGCCCTCTTTCTAGAGTCTCAACCTCTTTTTTAGAGTGTGGTGACCAAAACTGGATGCAGTACTCTAGGTGTGGTCTTACTAAGGCTTTGTAGAGTGCTATTAGTACCTCCTTTGATTTTGATATTGGTTCAGAGCCTTGAAACTGAAACTGGTTTGGCTGCTGGTTTCCTTGCAGACTTTAGGGTGTGTTTTGAAGATGCTTATGAGGACATGCAAAGCAAAATAATTGTGATGTAGCCATTTAATAATAATTAAAAAGAGGGAGACAATAAAGAGGATCTGCATTATTTCAGCTGCACCTGAAATAGGTGTTCCCCAATACTCCAAAGCACCCCTAATCGCCATCTTTTAACAACCCCGTAATCCCTAGCAGGGTGGAATCTGGGCAATTGAATGGAGCTAGTAGAGGGTTTACTGGCCCGATGCCCTTCCCTGTCGCCAATGAGGAGTTAGATATATTCTCATAGTGACCAGAGAGAGAAGGATCTGCTTCGACCTAGAATCGAACTCGCAGTTCTCCTGATTGTGAGGCGAGAGCTCCACCTCGAGGTCACCGCACCACTCCTCCAAAGCGCCCCTAATCCACTAAAATTCATTTAGTGACTGTTGAAAGTTACGACGACGTTGAAAAAAGTGACTGATGATGACCACCGCAAGCGTCCCCATGGTCACATGATCAACATTCGGAAGGTTGGCAACTGGTCCATATTTATGAAGCATCCAAAGATTGAGGTATGGAAAACGGTCCTAAGACACCATCCCAACTTTCAACAGTCACTAAATGAACTGTTGTAAGTCGAGGGTTTATTGTAGTTTACGAACCGAAGTTACGCTGGCACTGAAAAAAGTATCTCATGGCCTTTTTTTCACACGTACAACCATTGCAAGATCCCTACGGTCCGGTGATTTTAAAAAAATCGGATACTTCGCAACTGTCCTGCATTTATGACAGTTGTAATATCCCGGGGTCATGTGATTGTCTTTTATGAATGGTGCGGTGGGCTAGAGGTGGAGCCCTCTCGCCTCACAATCAGGAGGCTGTGAGTTTGATCCTAGGTAGAGGCAGATATTTCTCTGGGCACAATGAGAATATATCTGCTGAAAAAAACCTCCGCATCGGCAACAGGAATGGCATCCGGCCAGTAAACAGCTCCATTCAGTTTCCCAGACTCCACCTCGCAAGGGATAATGGGGTCATTAAAAGAGGATGATGATGATGATGATGTGATAGTCTTTTATGACCTTCTGACAAGCAATGAGGAAGCCCGGTTCATTTAACAACTGCAGTGATTCATTTAACAACGGTGGCAAGAAGAATCACAAAAAGGGACAGAACTACTTAACAACTGTCTTGTTCAGCAACAGAAATATTGGGCTCAATTGTGGCCATACGTTAAGGGCCATTTTTAATATCCGGTCTCAAGTACTTAATCAGGGTAAGGGGGAAAAGATCTATAAAATCATAGTTTCAAATCACCATGATATACATAATGGTTAATCATAATGGTGTGATTATCTTCTATTTCTTCTATCTTCTTCCGTCTATCTAGCTTCTCTCTTCTTCTTCTTCTTTTCTTCTTCTTCTCTTTCTTATATATATATAAATGGCTGTGTGTATGTATGTTCCAGCATAACCCCGGAATGCCTCGAGCAATTTCAACCAAAGTTGGTACACAGATGACTTCCTCTCTGGAAAAAAATACTGTGGGCGTAAGACACCCCTCTGGGTGTGTGTTCCGTTAAGATACAGCCTGTTGTGCCTTAAAATGGCTTCTACTGTACTGCCGTAAAATGGCTTCTACTGTGCAGCGCGGTGGAATTGCCATGGTAACAGCTTCACAGTACTCCACAAGGGGACTCCCTCTGGTAAGGGGGAAAACCCAACATTAGAAATGACGTATGATCCGGACATTTCCCCTCTACACATAAATACCCGGGCAACACCAGATTATCAGCTAGTTCTATATAAGAAGGTTAAGCATGTTGTGGGAACAGAAACAGTTAGCGTGGACAATTGCTTAGCAGGCTGCTTAAACATCTCTTCCCAGAAGCTCTTCTGATGTCCTTCGGTTCTATTGGACTACAACACCCTAATCCACAGCCAAGGTGTCCAATATATTTGAAAGAATCCCAATAGGGGAAAATTTGACATCAAAAACGTCCAAGCATTTGTTGGGCATGTATAACGACCTCGGGTGCCAGCGTGCCATGAAGGAGTTAAGTGTATACGTCGTGAGTGCACAATTTGCTAAGTTTCACAATTTTGTGGAGTTGCTCCTCTGTTGCAGAGTTTCTTCAACCTTGACTACTTTAAGAGGTGTTAACTTCAAATCCCAGAATCCCTCAGTCGGAATGAGTGGACTTCAATTCCCAGAATTCTCCAACCATCATAAGTGGACTTCAACTCCCAGAATTCTCCATACAGCTTGAGTGGACTTCATGTCCCAGAATTCTCTAGCCAGTATGAGTGGACTTCAACTCCCAGAATTCTCCATACAGCTTGAGTGGACTTCATGTCCCAGAATTTTCTAGCCAGTATGAGTGGACTTCAACTCCCAGAATTCCTCAGACAGCATGAGTGGACTTCAAGTCCCAGAATTCTCCATCCAGCGTGAGTGGATTTCATGTCCCAGAATTCTCTAGCCAGTATGAGTGGACTTCAACTCCCAGAATTCTCTATCCAGCTTGAGTGAACTTCATGTCCCAGAATTCTCCAGCCAGTATGAGTGGACTTCAAGTCCCAGAATTCTCCATCCAGCGTGAGTGGACTTCAACTCCCAGAATTCTCCATCCAGCTTGAGTGAACTTCATGTCCCAGAATTTTCTAGCCAGTATGAGTGGACTTCAACTCCCAGAATTCTTCATCCAGCTTGAGTGGACTTCATGTCCCAGAATTCTCTAGCCAGTATGAGTGGACTTCAACTCCCAGAATTCTTCATCCAGCTTGAGTGGACTTCATGTCCCAGAATTCTCTAGTCAGTATGAGTGGACTTCAACTCCCAGAATTCCTCAGCAAGGATGGCTGGCTGAGGAATTCTGGGAGTGGAAGTCTACTTATGATGGATGGAGAATTCTGGGAGTTGAAGTTCGCCCCTCTTAAAGTTGCCAAGGTTGAGAAATATTTATTGCAATTTAAAGAGATTTTTAAATACGTCAGCAGTTAATAATGAGAATGTTTCCCTGATATGAGCCACAACGTCAGCTTACCTCGCTATTGTCCAATCAAAGAGCGAGAAAGTTCCCTTAAAGCCCGCCTCCTACCTAAAGACCTTATCGCTCCGACCAGAGCGTTTTCAAGGAAGCTATCAATCAAACTCAAGAAAGCCAATCCGAGATCAATTACCCCGCCCATCGCCCGCCTCCCGCCGGTGTTTTGCACCCAAAGCGATGACGCGTTTTACCTTATCACCTAGTTTACAGATGGGGGAGGCGGGACGAGGAAGGGTCGTAGCAACCAATCAAAGCAGGGCAGGGCCTTTTTTAAGGCCTGACGTGCGGCCACGTGAATCGAGCGGTGGCCAATCGTCTTCTTCAGCCGACTGGCCCCGCCCCCTCGGCCCCTGTCCCACTCGGGTTCAAGCTGGCGGCCCCTCTTAAGATGTAAACAAGGCCTCGCGCTCCGACCGTTAAGAGGGTGAGGAGGGTCTCGCGCTCACCGCGGAGGGGGGGAGGGAGGGAAAAAGGAAAGAACAGCGAAAAGGAGAGCGGGAGGCATTTCATTGGCTGACTGACACCACCCCGAGGAGGGGGGGATAGCCGCTGGGCGGGTGGAGAACAGCCTGAGGGCTCCCTAGCAATAAAAAAAAACCCCAACAACGCCAAGAACCCTCCTGATTGGTGGGCAAGTAAAGGACAGCCGGGCAGCCAGAGTGTCCCCCCAGTATGGCGCGCGCTGATTGGAGGAGCGCGGCCCGAGGACGTCTCCCATTGGCCGCGGACGGGGGGGGGGACGCGTTCTAACAAGCTGGCTTTCCATTGGTGGAGGGGCCTGTTGAGCGGAGGTGAAAGGTTAGAGAGGGGGCAGTTGCCCCTGAAGCCCCTCAGGGATGGGGTGGTTTACTTAGGGGAGCCCGTCAGCCTTGAATGCTGGGATTGGAAGGCCCCAAAATTGGGATATGGGGTTTGAGGAGGGAGGGGAAAGAACAGGGGACGCTCCTGAGGTGCCTCCAAGGGGCTAGTCCTCAGTAAGGACTAATGAAGGGCTTGGAGAAAGGCCGCCATGTCCTCTCCTCCTCCTCTTTCACCACCGTCTCCTTTCTAAACCCCAGGAGGGGCAGTGTGAGTGTTGGGCCAAGCTGGAGAATGCCCTGAGCGATGGGCTCCCGCAGCAGTAGCAACGCTGGCTCGGGGGGCCGGGAGAACCAAGGCAGCTGGTCTCGGAGGGACTCGGGCATCCTGCGTAGCGAAGACGAGGACAACGAGGATGTGGATCTGGCCCAGGTACTGGCATATCTACTGCGCAGGTAACTCCACCTCCTCCCTGCCCCCCCCCCTTTTCCCCCTCCTGGCAGATCCCTGGGATCAACCACCCGGGTGAAGATCCCAAAAGGAAACTGGCTTTCCTTGCTTCCTTTCTTTGAAAAAAAGAATAAGGTCCAGGTAAAAGGTAAAGGTTCCCATTGCACATGTGTGCTGGTCGTTTCCGACTGTAGGGGGCAGTGCTCATCTCTGTTTCCAAGCCGAAGAGCCAGCGCTGTCCGAAGACGTCTCCGTGGTCATGTGGCCACAGGGCTAAATGCCGAAGGCGCACAGAACCCTTCCCATCAAAGGTGGTCCCTATTTTTTCTACTTGCATTTTTTTACCTGCTTTCGAATGGCTAGGTTGGCAGAAGCTAGGACAAGTCACGGGCGCTCACTCCATTACGCAGCGCTAGGGATTCAAACCGCTGAACTGCCGACCTTCTAATCAACGAGCTCAACGTCTTAGCCACTGAGCCACCACGTCCCTAAGATACAGGTAGTCCTCGACTTACGACCGCAACGCAGCCACCAAAATGCAGAAGGTTCAGTGAGACCGTTTTAAGGTGCCCCATGGGATGCCTTTTCTTGCTACATTCGTTGTGTGAATCGCTGCGTCTTCTATCATTGTAAATGTGTTTTTATTTTCCATTTCATTTCGTACAGTCACATATATACTGTGCATAACCGGGGCCATATAACATTAAACAATAAACACAGCCAATCCTCTTGTCAACAATACCCCCAAAAATAGAAACCAATGTATCTCTTCGACCCTCCATACACCCTTTCTTTCGTCCCCCTCCAACTTTCCATCTTCCCTCCAACATTCCCCTCTACCCTTCTTCCCCTCCCCCTCTACCACTCCTCTCTCCCAGTACACTCCCTCCCTTCCTTCTCACCCTCCCTCCCATCCTCTCTCCCACCCTCTCTACCCCTCTTTCTTCTATCCCTCTACTCCTCCCTTCGGTGTATTTCTACTATCTATTAATATATTCAGCTTGTCCTAATCGCTGTGTCTTCTGAATGAGTCACCCGGCGGTTAAGATTGTGACTCCAGAACGCGACAGCTGTCATAAATGTGAGTTGGTCGTTGAGCCTCCCAATCTAAGTCACGTGACTTAGATGGTGCAGCGGGTTGTGATTGTGACAAATGGGTCGTTCGTTGAGTGATTGTTCGAAGTGACCACAGTGCTGAAAGCAGGGATGGATGTCTGTTTTCCACCCTTAACTGCCGTTGCAGCATCCCTGTGCTCACGGGATTTACATTCAGACGTTCAGCAAACGGTTTGTATTTGTGATGGTTGCGGTATCCTGGGGGTCATGTGATCACTTTTTGGGACCACCTTGACAAGCGAAGTCAATGGGGAAGCCAGATGTCAACGTGAATCTGACCTGACTGAAGCCATCTTGGAGATTCAGTGCTGCCACATAGGCAGGGGGGAATAGAAATAGCCGGGGTCGTCTAGTCAAAATGAAATTCTTTCTCTTAGGGAACCAAGGACATTCTCACACTTGGCCGGAGGAAGGAGGCGTGATGTCCCCAGACCAGCTGAGGCTGCATTGTTTCGGCCATGAGACTGATTGTTTCGGATTGGGGGGGGGGGGATTTTTATTTTTAATTATGTGAAAACCATGGGGCCCCTCAGAATTGGTTTTCATCAGATATCTGCCAATTTGATGTTTCCAATAAAGCTACCATGTTTCCCTGAAAATAAGACAGGGTCTTATTTTCTTTTGACCTCCGAAATAAGCACTTGGCCTTTTTTTCGGGGAGGCTTTATTATTTCTAAGGTGCCGGAGGCGGCGAGCATGGTCACCCCATGGCTACTGTTGTGTTACAATATTTTCGGGGAGGGATTATTTTTGGAGTAGGGATTATTTTAGTGCATGCGCTCAAAAGCCTGATTGGGCTTATTATCCAAGGAGGTCTTATTTTCAGGGAAACGGGGTATTCTTTGAAGAATTCACCTGCATTGGAATTTTTGCTTGCGATGGATCTATTCCTTGGAACCCTGACATCAGATTCACTTAACAACCATGTGACTCACTCAACAATCACAGGGATCAGCTTAACAGTGGGGGCAAGAAACGTCTTCAGATGGAGCAAAAACGTATTCCATCAATTTCCCACTTTGCAACCTAAATTTTGGGCTCAATTGTGGTTGTAAGTTGAGGACTGCCTGGAGAATAGGACTCTCTATTGACCAAGTGTGATTGGATACACAAATAATTTTTCCCACAGTGAAGAAATTCTCCGTGTACATCCCAAAGGTGCTTTTTCTTTCATGAGACATCTGGACTATCCAGAAAGTCCAGTTGCCTCTTGAGAAAAAAAACACCTTGAATGACCTGAATGATTGAGAATCTCCATAGACACTCTTAGTATACGTGCAATCAGTATACATGCAAACAACAAAATGGTTAACTCAATATCACAATCATAAAATACAGTCATCATAAATCATAAGATACAAAGTGGTAGTTGTAAAATCTTCTATATATATAAAATGGCTGTGTGTGTGTGTGTGTTCCATCATAACTCTGGAACGCCTCCAGCAATTCCAACCAAACTTGGTACCACAGATGAATTACTCTCTGGAAAAAAGTACTGTGGGGGGTAAGACAACCCTCGGGGTGTGTGTTCTGTTAAGATACAGCCTGTTGTGCCTTAAAATGGCTTCTACTGTACCGCCGTAAAATGACTTCTACTGTACAGCACAGTGGATTTACCATGGTAACGGCTTCACAGTACTCCACAAGAGGACTCCCTCTGGTAAGGGGGAAAATCCAACATTCGAAATTACATTTGGTCTGGACATTTCCCCCCTATAAATAAATACCCGGGCAACGCCGGGTTATCGGCTAGTACTAAATAAAAACAACCTAAATCATAGGATACCAACAATAAAATGGTAGTTATAAGATGCTGAGAGAACAGGTAATAAGATGAGAAGGGTAATAGTTAGATTATAATTCAATATGGTTAGATATGCTAAGGCACAAGACAGTGTTGTGGGAATTAGGTGTTTAGCAGAGTGATGAAGAAGAAGCAGCTTTGATTCTTGTTGGATGACAAAAAAAAATGCTTTCAAAGGAAAACAAAAAAGTCCAGTTGGACTAAGTCCCTTTGAAGTCCACTCAGGCTGGACAGAGAATTCTGGGAGTTAAAGTCCACACCTCTCAAAAGTTGCCAAGATTGAAGAAATAACTGCAACAGAGGAGCAATTGTGAAACGTTTGAGCGTTGTGAAGTGTTCCTTTTGTACCTGCGAATGTACTGTAGTCACACCCCAACGCTCTGGTTTCGAAGGATCATGCTACAGTACGTGGGCAAATAGTTTGTGACGCAACGGGGTTCGGAATTGCTAATGCTACTTTTTTTTATCTCTTCCCTGCTTTCCCTAGGGGACAGTTTCACCTCATGCAGGGAGGGGGGACAGCCAGCGCCCGGGTGTTCCAGGCGGTTTCAGATTCAGACGACGATACTGACAGTGCTTGGGAAGGACGTTTAGGAGATCAGTACAAACCGCCAGGTATTGCCAAGAAGTCCAGAGTTGTTTACTTAACGCGGATAATGTTGTTAGTTGCAAAGTTGTGTCCGACCCATCGTGACCCCATGGACAACGTTCCTCCAGGCCTTCCTGTCCTCTACCATCCTCTGGAGTCCGTTTAAGCTCACGCCGACTGCTTTGGTGACTCCATCCAGCCACCTCGTTCTCTCTCATCCCCTTCTTCTTTTGCCCTCAATCTTTCCCAGCATGAGGCTCTTCTCCAGGGAATCCTTCCTTCCTCATTAGGTGGCCAAAGTATTTGAGCTTCCTCTTCAGGAGCTGGCCTTCTAAAGAGCAGTCAGG